TAAGGGCTGCTCAATACATGAAAAGTTTGGGCTTCAAGGGAAAAAAAAGGTCAATAATAAATAGGATTTGGGAATTGTCTAAATATCTGAGGGGTCACAGCTGCCTGACCTCCAAATCAGAAAGTCTTCTAAAAGAAGAGATTGAGGGTCATCAAACAGCTGCCTGAGAGCAATTCAAGTTTGTTTTTAACATGAAATGCTGATATAGTTTCCTGACACTAGTCTAAGTGTTTTATATTTATTATCTCATTTTAAATGCTCAACTATCACAATAGATTGTAACTTGAATTTTCCCACTTTCAACCTTGATAAAACCAAGAAATAGAAAAATTGAACATAATGATACAGTTTAAGTAGAATAACACAGTCTAGTTGTGCTCTGAACCACGACACTTAAGGCCTCATATCTGGACCCATCTCAGATAAATGCAGAAAAGCTCTCTATAGGACTTTCCATAAACACAACAAACCTGAGGAGAGAGCAGGAACAGTGTCAAGAAAGAGCACGAAAAGACAGACGAAAAGGTAGAGGCAGAAAGAGAAGCATGCTCGGTTCTATAAGGGATCCCAGGCTGGGAATGATGAGTTGAGAAAGAGGTCACGGCGAGGGCTCTGACTAACCCTCACGACTCTTTGCTGAGCAATTTTCTACTCCTACTCTCTCTGATTCCCAGTGCATTTTGAGAAGACCATACACTTTCATCCTTGTAAAGAATGCTGAACAAACCTGCATGGTAGGATTTGATTGCATTGTATATTTAGATTATACTAGCAGAGGTTTTAAGGAGAGCTGCATGTAGATTAGTAAGAGTATGTACATTGGATGAGTTGCATGGAGCAGTGCATAGTAAGATGGTTGAAGTTCAAAGAAAACTTCTAACAGAGTTAACAAACTTAGCACACAAAATAAATCAGAGTAAATGCTGCCTACGTCTAACCATTCTAGGCTGATACTTTTATTTCCCATCTTTGTGTCCATTGGCAATGATGCATTTTCTAAATGAAGATTTTCTGTGGACACCACAGAACTCTTCTCTGTTTTGAAAGTTCATCTTAACGGGGGTTCCCTAAGAAAGTCATCATCACATTGAATAACCAACATTTGTCAAACTCAGTGATAAGTTCTGTGGCAAACACATCCCCCTTTTTCCAGATTTTAAAAGCAAGCGTTGGGGAAATACAGAAGTAGATGTGTAAAATATTTCAAAAAGAGCTTGGAATGAGAGAGAGAGAGAGAGAGAGAGAGAGAGAGAGAGAGAGAGAGAGAAAGAGAGAGAGAATAAGAGAGAGAAATGGTGTTAGGTGGGGGGGTGGAGAATTGGGGAGGGATAAGCAAAATATTCTAAAGATAAACTACAGTATTTGTTCTTTAAAATGTAATATAAAAAGTATTATTAAATCATGAAATTATTAATTCTTATAAAATAATAGGTAAAAACAATGTAATTAGTTCCACACAAAACATAGTATCTTCTTGGAAACTAACTTTTATCTATCAGCATTATAGCCTGTAAAGAGAAAGACAGGATTTTAAAATGATATAGGTCTAGTTCAATCACTTAACTGTGTTAACTTAGGGAAATATTTAAATATCTCTGAGACTCTTTCTCTATGTAATAAGATGCTATGAGTCAAAGAGCTTTTAAAGAATTCTGCAAATACATTATCTTTATCTAGTAACTGATATTTAATATTCTAATTGTTAATATAAAAACCAGGTTGAGAATCTATGTACAATTATCCATGGATGTTTCTCAATAGACTATTGATTTACTTTCCCCATAATTATATGAATACTTTACATTGTTTATTTCACATTTACTTTATAGGTAAAACTCTAAAAGTAGTCTTTATTAATTTTTAAATTGTTTCCAATCTTATTGAGACATAATTGGCATATAAGTTGTGTAAGTTTAAGATATACGTGATGATTCTATACATAGAGCAGGTCCTCGAATAATGTTATTTCCTTCCATATCATTTTATTATAGCGCTGATGAGGAAAAAAATCTATTTTGGGCTGGGCCCACTGTCTGTGTGGAGTTTGCACATTCTCATCATGTCTGTATGGGTTTTCTCTGGGGACTCCAGTGTCTCCTCACATCCCAACGACGTGCACTTGAGATGAACTGTCTAGATTGTCCCAGTGTGGGTGAGAGTGTGGGTGAGTGTGGGTGTGAGTGACTGCACCCTCAGTGGAAGGGTGTCCAGGCCATGATGTGTTCCCGTCCTGAGCCCTGAGCTGTTGCGCGACCCTGAACTGAATAAGTGGTTTGTAAAAGAATGATCTTACTTGTTCTTATTAATCTTTCTTAAATATCTGTATAGCTCACATTTCTTTCCATGTTTCATATTAGAAGTGTTTGGGGTCTTTATTTAGAAGTTTTGTGATGAGATATGCCATAGTAATTAACTTGTGTTTATATCAATTAGCCTCTGGTAAAATGGGTTTCCTTATACATAGTTTTGCTTAAATTTGCAGTTTCCAAGAACTTCTTGATGACATTAAGTGAGGACTTTGTGTGTGTGTGTGTGTGTGTGTGTGTGTGTGTGTGAAAATGATTATAAAGATACTCACTATATGCCTCTACACAATTATTAATTTGAAACAAATCACAAATTACACATTTAATCCTAAAAATGTAAGGTTTTTTAGCCTTTTTAATTATCATACAACTAGCTGTAAAACAGCTAATTCAAGTACTGTAAGTATATTAAAGTTACACTAACAATTTTCAACATGTTTAACTAGAAATTGATAACAGGAAAGAAAACATCTGGGATTAAAATGGATAATTGCTAGGATTAATACTATTTCTAAATTCAACTTCCTTCAAAATGAATCACTTTATAATTTAATTAGGTTTCCAGCTAGAAAAAAAAAGTGCTAATAAAAGCTCCGATAAGAAAAAGTGGGCTTAGACAATTGGTTTAAAAAGAATCCGCATAATCATGGGGCTTAATTTTTTATCTACAATTCAGCTCAAAGTCATCAGAATGACTTTTATATCAAAGAGTTTCTGTGAGTGACAAGAGCAAGGCTTGCTTTGTACTGTTTAAAGTCATTATTCCATGAAATAACTTTAGCCTGCCAAGATGAGAAAGAATAACAGATGCTGTTTTTGCATTATCTGCATTACTTCAGCCAGCCATCCTTAGACATTTGGGTCAAATTTCGGGAAATTTGTTACTTGCTTTTGACAGAGGAATCATGTATCCTAACCTCTCAGTTTGACCTTTCTAATTGGCATCCATTTGTAATACTTTGCTTTCTGTGGCAATTATCCTTAAGCTGGCCTAAGTTTAGTCTATTTTTTTTCATGTATTAGGGCATGAATATGAAAAAAAATTAATCAATATTTTCACCCAAAACAAACTAGTAAGAGAAAGTTTTTATACATATACTGCATATTATTCTGATGGATTTTGAAGGTGTTTTAACCTTTTATAAGCTTGAAGTTGAATGAGGAGAAGTTTTTCCGTGCAGATGTTTGGTCATTGTTTTCTATTCTATATGTGGATTTTTCAAAATCAAAATTTAAAAATAAAGTGGCATGTCCTACATTTCCAAAGCCAGCAGAAATTTGCCCCTCAAAATAATTTAGAAAATCAAAGAGCAATTATTTTATGAATACTATATTATAGCTTACTAGAATAGAATAACTAGCTCAGAAAATAAATTAGGTAAATAATTCTGGTGGTTGGGGATTTAAAAAGTTTTTCATTTATCTTCATAAACTGAAGTTTCAGTAGATTATTATATTTAGATCATCACATACTAATAAGTAATATTTGTTGAGCACTTACAATGTACCAAACACTGATCTAAAAGCTTTACATGTGTTATCTCATTTAATCCTCAAATAACTGTAGAAATCGCTTGAATGCTACTGCCTCCTCCAAGTGGTATTTAACAAATCACATTTAGATGGTAGGGGGAGGAAAATTAAAAGTCTTACACGCTGAATCAAATGGAGTTCTCACTGAGTTTTTTAAAGGTCTGTAAAGTAGAAATCATAATTAGTAAATTTCACTCAATTAAAACTTCCTATGTATTTTGAAAACTGGAAAAGTGATCTTTCTCTAATTTGTAATAAGAATGAAAGGGAATAAGGACTAAAGGACTATCATTAAAGACTTGCTTTTTCAAATGACTTAAATGTGACAAAACTTAGTATACTATAGAAAAAGCATAAATTATTTTTAAGTGCTGTGCATATGTACTAATAGAAATTAACAGAATCTGTGTGTAGGAAAACTAAGCTAAACATATTTTATTATCTTTAAAATGCGCTAATGCTTCTCGAGAAATCAACATTTTCAGAACAAAGCAAAGCAATCTATAATTTATAAATTGCTTACAAAATGTATATGATCTGAAGAAATGTTTATGAGTGCAAAATTAAGTCTTCATAGTTTTAAAAATTGTTTTTGATGCAACAAAAATATAAGATGAGTATTTCACAAATGGATCAAATAAAATTTCTCTATATAGGGTCAAAGTGGTCTAATTATTGCTTTCTTCCCTCCATACTTATTAAAATATAAATATGTTATATTACTGTGACCCAATTCTTGACATCATGAATAACTTGTAAAATTAAAAGAGAACCTGATCAACTAAACACACATAATCATCATAAATATATATTTTTAAAATGTTATATAATATGTTATTTTCATAATATTTCTCTCACTTGGACAACTTTTAAACAATAAATAATGGCAATCACTTGGAAAATGTTATTTTCAAATGCAATTATCCTTAAATTTTTTGTGGACTCTATCTTTTCAAGTAAATAAAATATTTACATGAGTACTTACAAAAACACATACAATGTTTTGGTTAAAAATACATATAATTTTACAAAAACTATATACATTAAGTTCTCTGGGTAAGTTTTCCTACCTACTAACTAATTTAGAAAGTCACTTCATTCCATTGTACAAATGTAAAATCTCCGTAACACCTTTAACAAATATAAAGTGGTTCTACTTACACTTGCATGGAGTTTTCCTTTTTTTGACATCGCTAAAAATTTGTTGCTGAAAACTCCTCGTATTCCTACAATCCCCTGAGACACAGCAAATATTTCCAAAATACCTAGGATGACAGAAATCCCAAAATAAAACACAGAGGCCTCCATATACCATTGTGAAGAATTAAATTTCTACATAAATTCTTTCCATTCTTTACTAATGCAATTTTTGAAAAAGTATTTAACAGTTTTTTTATATTCATTATTTAAAGAGGCTAGCAATCAAGTGTTCATTTAAAATGATAGATTTCAAGATTCAAAAATGTAGTTCAACTTCATTAGTAATTCTTTTTTTTCATACAGTCCCTTTTAGTAAATAATGGTTGACAATAGAATCTCTTCAAGTTCTAAAGAAATTGAAGGACTTTGAAAACTATTTTTCAAAATGATTCTCATGCATTGTTTTTCTATCAGAGACAATGCGCTCTTTAAAATTAAAGCACATAACATCTGTACTGAAGATGAGCATAAACTGGTGAAAGCCTTAAAAACAATACTTATTTACTTAAAGGAAAACCATCCTCTCAAACTACCATCATTATAAAAATACAAGTCCATATATACCAACTCGATCATTTAGTGAGCAGCTTATTTAAAGATTACACATAACAAGATACTAAAGGCAATGTAAATCACTTGGGAGTATTGGCTCAGGGAGGTGTTTAATGGATTATGGTTTGAGACAACTTACATCTTGGATGACTTTTCTGGAAAAAATTTAATGAGGTATTTTATTTTGTTAATGCTTATGTTTGCTATTTCGGAGTTAACATTAACAAGTCGAAGTTCCTCTGTCTCCTATGAAAGCCCACATCTACTTGGTCAAGAAAATCACACACCACAGTTCACAGAGCATTTTAAAAAATGAGACTCAATCTATATATAACTGGAATTCCTGCCTCTTTTCCTGTGTTATATGAACACAAGAAAAGCATAGTGCTTTTTGTTAATTGCCTACATCAAATTGTAAAAAAGAAAAAAGAACAAAATAATATAGTTCATTGGTGCAACAAAGGGACCTGTCTTAGGAAGAAAGGAAGGAAACAAAGATGGGAATGACAAGGGAAAAAAGTTCAACTTTTCAATATTTAATATTTTGAGCATATTTCAGCCGATTTTCTCAAAATAATCTCCCCCTGGAGTATTTTAAATACATATAAATTTATTCAGTTTACAAAAAAGTGGTATTGTGGATACGCATATATATTTAATAAATACATATGAATAACTTTATTGAGCACTTATGTTGCACAAAGTGAGCTAATACCTAGAATTGCAGCAAATACTGCTGCTTATTTATTAAACTCAATTTCTGAATAATACTTGATCAGAAAGCTTATGGGGGGGGGGAGGAGTAGCAGAACTATGTTTTTGTTATATGTTCTTAACCCAGAATAAAAAAAAACACATCTCAAGAAACTGCAGCTACCGATTTTGTAATAGGTGTTTCTTTAGAAGGAAAAAAACACCCCAAAACTCTTTAAAAGAAACTTCTTTTGCTTTTAGAAAGAAACTGCTATCTCAAATTCTTTATTGCAAAATGTCTTCAAAATGCTATTTCTAATGGATTTTGGTATCTAAATTATGACTTTGATGCACATCCAAAGATTTAGAAGCATTATCATTTTATCAAATGGTAACAAAGTATACAGAACATTTTGTAAAGTTAAAGACACTATAGGATGTAGCATGTTTAATAAAGCATAAATAGATATCTGATGCAAAATTATATTTCTATCAAAATTACAGAATGATCTTGCAAAGAGTATTAGTAATTTTAGATATCTGAGAGATGGGGAATGTAATGTGAATACTGTGTAAATATGTTACAAAGTGAGAACATGAGAAACTGTCTAGGTGTGAATGATAGCTGCAAAGGAGACAACATGGAGTGCATAGAAGAGACTGGGCTGCAATTTACCCATGGTTCTACATTGGTAGAGGTGTTTCATTCCATTCTCTGGAAAATTACCTGGTTTTGTAAATGCAAATGTATTCTGTACTAGTGAAAAAATACATGACAGCATAAAAGATAAAAATTTCACTAAGTGTTTGCATGCTAACATTGAAGAGGTCAAAATAAAAGGGCTCCAAAAAATATATGTTTAGTGAAAACATTGCCTATGTAATCTATTGGGTTCAACAACTAACATGTTCTATTTTTAAGAAAGACCCATTTTCACACATTTAACTTGTTTTCTATAACTGTACATTCTGTGTGGATATATGTTATGTAAATTTTTCATTATAATGAATTTTATGTATGAGGAAGATGAAATTCATAATATATGTGAATTGTTATTATTTTATTACATACTGCATGGTTTCTTTTCATGTAAGTTCCACTACTGAAATTATAGATTGTCTGAGAATGAAAGGATTTTTATCATTTTAAGAAAATTGTATCTAATTGAAAGCTTAAAAAACACTTTCACATATATCGTTCTACTTAAAATAATGAGGACCACAAGGGAAGACACGAGATTCAATAAAATAATAGTTTTCTCACATAGGCAACTTTGGTATCACCTTCTAAATCTTAATGTAATTATGGCATAAATTGTGAATGTTGGTAAAATCAGAAATTCAAAAGTAATTTCAGTCTCTTTTTCTAAAATATTAGAGCAGATTCTATAATTCAACCTATAATTCAACTTCCTGCCTCCCCAAGAGATTACTATGATTTTACTATGCCAAATCTCAGTAACTCACTAAAGATTTTTTGCATAATATACTATATAATAAATCTATGTGCATTAAATCATACATATAGAAATCCCAAGAAACATTTCTCAAAAATGGATTCTTTTTTAATTTCAGTAATTTCCTAACTCTTGTTGTGAGTCAGTAATAATAAATTTGATGAAAATTTGCAATTTATATTGTGGATGCCGGGATGGTATCCTTAAGCAAAAGTGTGTAAGGCAAATTGCGTCTCACAGATCACAGATAGTCAATGAATGTTCCCTAAGTTGGACTGTGTTCTTTGACCCTCTTTCGCTTTTCAGGACACCCACATGCACACATCCGTATTTTAGCACTCTCCTACTATGTTGGCCCTCTCCTGCTTGGGGAGTGGAGCAAGGGAATAGAGATCAGTATAAATGAATTCACATTAGAGTGCTAGCAACAACATGTTACCTTTCCTAGGGTAGTCACATTTAAGAGGATCAAAGGAAAAGTGTAGTGCTCACAGAAGGAATTTTCATACAGGAATTTTGGGGTTGACATCTAGGTTGAAGGAGGCAAACATTTGGTGTCTCTCAGATTATACACACTGTTTAATCCACTTACAAGCATAGGCATGCAATGCAAAATAAGTGTATTTCAGGAAGAAAATATATACCTAGATTTTTTAGTCTGCTCCAGATTTTTAAAACAATAGGACTCTAGTAGAGACAACTAATATAATTATATAGGCTTCTTTCTTTTCTCTCTATTCCTAATAAGGCGCAGATACTCCATGTAATCAAAAGCCTTCAACAGCCCATCTGAAAATCCCCAAAGAAAAATCATTTAAAACTGAAGTTTCTCTATTTTTGTTCACACAGCAACAGATGTGCTGTGTCATTATAAAGTCTGAGTCTTAAATATCCAGTTTATCTGTTTTCATTGATTAGATTAGTAACACAAACTAATTGAGTTTTTCTATGCAATAGATACAGATTCTGCTTTATCTAAGTTTGGGAGACTATATAAAGGTTGACTCTACATGACATCAAAATTTATAGTGAATTCAGATTTCTGAAGACCAGTGAAATTAAGGATTCAGTTTAACCAAAATATATGATTGGAATTTTCATATTTTATATGAAGACTTTGATTTTCTATATAGTATTAAACTTTTGGTCCCTAAATTGAGAAATACATAATTGCCTATGCTTTAATAGCCCAAGATAAGACAGCAGAAGCATTGTATTGAAACTAACCTTAATCACTATAAATTAAAGCAAAGCCTTTGTTTCTATTCAATAATTGGATTTCATCATCTATTTTTGTCCCATTTTTCTTAATCCTTCCCTAATATTTCCCCATAATAAGAGTAGATGTGCAATAAGCTTGATTCTTTTCTCTGTCTTCAAAACTTGGGATAACTATTGTATAAGAGAAATTAAGAATATACTCAGTGGTATATTTTAACTAAACAAATTCTATTTCAAAAATCTATGGCTAGTGTGTACGTCTGACAGTAAAACTAGAAAACATTCACAGTTGCAAAAATATTTATGTCACATGATAGTTGGGATATATATGTTTGCTCTCACAAATATCACAGAAAACTATTGAGTTTAAAAGATTGCAGCTTCATAGCAAAGTTTTGACTCTTTTCTGAAGTAGCAAGCTGACACACACACACACACACACACGCACGCACACACACACAAAAACAAAAAACAATGTTTTCTGTCATTGCTCACTCACAGACAGTAGAATTAGGTGATGAGGTAAATTTCTGATGTATCCTCTATTGTCCTCTGTGATACCAGCTTTTTCAGTGTCTCTTGTGAGACTTAGACAAATGCTTCCTCGTGTACTTTAACCAACAGTCCATGACCAATGCCTTAGTTTACATATGTCAGGAAGCCATCAAGTGCTGTGCCTTCAAAGGTGTATGTGGCCAAATGTAATCACCAGGCTTCTGTTTCTCTTTCACAGCTACTTAAGGGCAGAGACTCATTTTAAATTTCCAAATTACATGCCATTCTAGTAAATATGACATATTCCATACACTCTTCATGAATCAATGGTAGCACCATCTTATGAAGTAGTATTGGCCACTCCAGGCATCACAAAGCAGAAAAGTCACCATGATTTGAACACTTCAGCTATTGTTTCCTCTGACAAAAATCAATGGCAGTCAAAAACAAAAAGATATTCCCCCCCCCACCCCCACCCCATGAGTCCAATAGTAACCAAAATATCAGGCTGGGTGAAATAGGTATCCTATATTGGGTGCATGAATGAATGGATGAATGAATGATCACGTGCCATGTGAAACACACAGACTAAACTCTGAAAGGCTATGGTAAATTGGAATTAATTAGGAAAGTGATAGTTTAAAAAAGTTCTTTTAGTCACAGTTTAGAAAAGATCCCTGTTCTTTTGTAGACATTTTTCAAAGTGAATTTTAAAATAAATTAGATCTTAGAAATAACATATTGGTCAATGTCTTCTGCAGCTGAAAATATTCTTTGTTGAGCTGTTCTCATTTTCCTTCCTATACTTTTCTACAACTTCCCGTTGGGCAAGGCCTAAGCTGCATTTGCTTATTTATTTATTTATTTAGGTCTATATGGTTCCATCCAAGAGAAGAGGGTGAATGTCTTGGGAATAAGTCTGTTTTTCAGAGATACCAGCACATGAAACACACCCTAGACATTCTTTAATTCGCTGGGATGCAAACTGCTGTCTGACGCATGCTAACTTTGGGTCTGCCCTTGGGAACCCAGAAGTTACCCTCTGGTGGTACTAATTTCCTAGATAAACTACAAGAACAGAATAAAAAAAGGTTTTCCGTAAGATAAAGGAGGAAAGAGTCCTAGCAGTGGGCACTGAGCTCTGATGTCTGATGGAGCAAAGGGTTGCGTGGGACAAAATAAGGGCAAATGAAATTAGTGAAAGAGACCTAACTTTCCTGCTCCTGAAATCTCAGAAAATTCCCCTTCCTTCCCCCTATCACCAAAGATAGTGAGTTCTTTTATCATGGTGACATGAACCTTAAAGCATAGAAATGGGCTCCTCCAAGAAGCGTGTGGGAGGCCCTGGGACTTGGGGAGGCGCACGTGGAGGGCCTCTCTCCGGTGTGCCCAGGCCACTCGCCACTGTGCAGCACGGCCAGCTGGAGCTGCACTGCCTGAGCCGCTAGTCTGCGGCAGGGGGTGGGCGGCGACCCGCCCCTCTTCCGGAGAGAACCCCGCAGCAGGGAGATCTTTTTTTACCCCGCCTCCTGCCTCCTGAGCCCCAGGGAAGAGGCTGGCCGAATGGTCCCCCCACCGTCGTGGACACCTCCACTCTGGAGGTCAGTCCCCCTGTGGCACCCGCGCTCCTCCAGAGCCTGGAGGACCAGAAGCTCAATTGCCTGTATGGTCCTGGGTTTGAGCCGGAGCAAGTTCCCAGCCTGTTTCCGCCTCTTTAAGTGTGGAATGTAGACACTCAACAGATTAAGTGAGCAATTTCCGAGGGCCAGGCATAGCTCTAGGCAGAAGGAAAACAGTAAGGGGTCAAAACAATGGAACTTTCCGAGGGTGGAGATGGAAGTACACCTGGGAGCTACCAGGCTGACACTCCTGAGCCCGTGACAGCAGCGCTGTCTCCGGGACACCTCTCCCCTCTCTGTGGTCCGGGCCGGAGCGGGGGTTCTACCTGATGGACTGACTCGGCTGGAAGAGCGATGGGGCCCCACCAAGGGAAAGCTCGGCAGGGACCGCCCCAGCCCGCGCACACCCCCAGCTGCCTGGGGCGGCGAGAGGAAGCGGAGGAGGGAGGTAATATCTGCAAATGCTGGCCGAGTGGAAGACAAGAGAAATGAGAAAGTAGCGAAAGAAAGAGCTAAAGCGAAAACTCAGAAAATGTAAAACCTGGCTTTAAAAAAAAAACCTACACAATTTGCACCTGTACCGAATTGAACCTCCTCTGAATTTCTTTTAAAATAAAGAACTTGACCCTAATTGTTCTTGGGGGCCAAAGGCTAGCTGCTCTTTCGAAAGGTGTTGACTTTCTTGGTCTCAAGATATGAAACGCTACTAAACCCAACTCTAGAGCTAAAATGCAAATGTCCACCGCGATGCCCTTTTTAAACGTGTCCAGTTTGCCAGATCACTGTCTTCCCTACAATATAGATACATTACTCTATATGTACGTAATGTGCACATACGCATACACAATAGACATACGTATGCATATATGTTAAATACTATATATATTCATATTATTTGGGGGTTTATGGTGGTGGTTCAGGGGCTATGTCAGTTTTATTCTTCTAAAAAAATAACAAGTCATGGGTAAGGAAGAGGGACACACTTTGATGCCTAATGACAAATGCCAGCCTAGTAAACAGCAGCAGAAAGTAAAGAGAAACTGAAGGAGGAGAAAGGAGGAGATTTGGGGTTTTTTTTCCAGGCACGGGCTGGAGGCTCCTCTTCGGGACCAGAGCAAACTGGAAACAAGGTACCTATCTCTGTGCACCAGCCTCCGGGGAGCTACACTTCAGGGATCGCCATTCCTTACCCACGAGTGGGGTGCGTGTGTGCACGCCACACAAACGCGTCTCCACCCCACCCGCCGGGCTGTTTCCACGGCCGGGGCTTCGGTAGGTGAGCCGGCGGCCCTGGGAATAACCGGCTGTCCCTCCCCAGTGCCCGGCCACCCGCTTGGGACAGGTTTTGCTAGAGAGCGAGCAACTTACTTAACATATTGGCTTCGTGGGAGCCATTGACTTTGCCATCCGGGTAGATCTGCAGATGGAAGCCGATGCCCACTCTGCAGTAGAGGCTGCCAGTCCGGCGTCCCGAGGGCGTCCACTGGAAACTGCTCTGCTCCAAGCCGCTTCCTGGGCTGCCCGGAGGAGTCGCGGGGGAGGAGGCGGAGGAAGACGTGGTGCTACTGCTGTTCCGGCGGCTGCGGGAGCCTCCCGGGATCTTCTCCGTGGCAGCGGGTCCGAGTTGCCCTTTGGGGGCGAGGCGCTTCTCCCCTTGAGCCCAGGCGCTGAGGATCAGGTGGCTGAGGAAGAGGAGGAGGAAGGACAAGCTCATTCTTCCAGCCGCGGGGGTCCTAAGTGCATCTTGTAGGGCTGGCTCTGGGCTCTGTAGCCCCCGCGCGGCTGCGTGCCTCTGGCGCTGCCCCCCTCGCCGCGCCGGGCGGACATAGCCTCGGGGGAGAGAGAGGGAGAAGGGGAGAGAGAGAGGCCACCCGAACGGAGCCTGGCGCTGGCACTGGGATATTTATAACGCCAGTGATCTCACTGCGCGGCGCACGCCTGCTAGGCTTCCCCTCCACCCGCCGCTTTGTGTACTACTCTCCGGCCGGTGCGAGGAGGGCGCCGGCGGGTCCCGGGGGCGGGGGTGTGGAGGAGGGAGGGGATGAGACAGGGAGGGGGTGGAGGAGCCAGGTGGAGCGGAGCGGCACCCGGACGCGGGGCGCGCGCGCCGGGGCCACGCATCCCAGCGGGTTCTCACGCGCCCCGCGGCCACCCTGGGGCTGGAGCCAACGCGGCGCCGAATTCAGCGGCGCGCGTGCAGCCGAGTCCCCGGGGCCGCGACGGAAACAGGGGTTACTGCGTGGAAGTGAGTTCCCGTCCTCTCCGCCTCGGCCGCACGCCTGGCGCCCAGCCCGGCACTCTCGCCGGCGCGGGCGGGCGGGACCCCAATTGCCAGGTTCCCTTCTGTAGGCCCCGCAGGCTCCGCTCTCACCAGCCGGCGCCGGGGATTCCCGGGGAGGCGAGTCCCGCCGGGAGAGCCCACGCCGTGCAGTGCTTCCGCGGGGAACCTCGCCAGGTATAGCAGCCCAACTTGGGAAGGCTTTGGTGCGGCGCCTTTGGTTGGAGAAGGTGGTTCTGACTGATTTATTAAAGAGCTAAGGAATGGGTTTATTCGGCGTTTAGAGGGCCACCTTGAACCATTACGCCACAACTCGAGCTGCTTTCTGTTGCAAACTCTAGTCGCGCTCAGTATTAGGCCAAATTTGTTTTTCCTTCTGGGAAGCCTTGGATGCGTGTCCGAGAGCGTGAGCACACACGCACACCCACGCTCGCTCGCTCGGAGCCGGGCGACAGGGGAGCGCCTGGGCACCAGCACGTGTGACTGACTATCCAGTTGTCCTCTCTCACCCCAGGATCCTCTTGGCAGGAAGGATTAGCTAACAGCTCGCTTCGGCTTACTCAGAGCTACCATTGACTGAAGGGCCGACCCCAATGAATGATTAATGATGAGCGCGCTGTTTCAGGAAACCTGAGAACCGAGCATTTCAGTGCATGCAATGCCCCTACTGTCATTTATCTGAGAAATATACCTGACTTGCATTCTTGGAATATTTCTGTCTGAAAACACATTTGCAGCTTTGAACTACGCTCTGATACATTATGCATTGGTCATGTTAATGAAAAGGCTGTGATTTTAACCGATAAGGTCAATTCACACACGCCAAGGTTGCCGCTAAGATATGGCATTATCCGTTATTGAGTACCCACTTAAGGATTCCCATTTCCATAATGAAAAGCATATAAAAAGCATGTAGATTTTTTCAGGACTGGAAATCGTCCACGGCTAGAATACATAATATCGAGGCAGCTATAAATGGAAGTCACCTTGACAACTTAGTAAAGTCACCGGGAAGAAAAAAGAGCACACCACACATAGATGTGCATAGCTGGGCACAATGCCCCTGACGCACTAGATAAGATGCTGTCCTGGGCTGAACACCCCTTCTCTCCCCACTGTGGGAGGCTGGAGCTCTGTGCTAACTACTTAACTAGTAAGTAGGCAAAGCAATCCTGGACCTTGAAAACAGACACCTGGTGGCCCAGAATGGTTCCCTTGACCTCTTTCCAGGGTGAATAATTGTGAGATACTGGGACTGAACGCTGTGCCTTCTGTGAGCGATGCCCTTGAGCCTATGACAAAACTGTCATGGTTTAAGGCCTGATGGTGCTGCTGAATGCCACCAGCACGTTTTCCTGCATGTCACTCAGTCTACCTACCACTGATGCCTCCAGTGGCAAAGATTTTCCAACGCAAATCTAGTTGTCTATCCGCCCAGGCCCCTTATCTGCTGAAAGAGCAGGAGAGCGGATCCTGACCGGACACACTGCCAGCCTCCTCCCCAAACCCCGGGGGTGAGGTGTGTGTGGGGGGTGGAGGGGTGGGGAGAGAGATAAGACCACTCTGGGGCCAAGCTTCTGGAGCGGAGATTCCAACTCTTATTTCTTCTTTGTTTCAGCTTTCAAGCCCCACCTCTACTGAAACAGCCATTCTTGCACCTCTCCTTCCTGCAAGATTCCAGTTGGAGATCAGATTTTGTCTAAGAATGACCCAGGCAGGCCAAGACACCTGCTTGGGCTTTAGTCGACTTCAGCCTGAAGGATGGCAAGGTGCACTCCCGCTCCCTCCGGGGTCCCGGGGTGAGGCTTTAGGAAGAGCTGGGCACTTGCTGTGGGAAAGAAATGACCGGTTCTTGTGGGCAGTGATTGAATGTAGCAAATCAGACCCCAAGGCCCCTTCTCAACTCTCTTGGGTACTGGGGGTTTAAAAAAAAAAAAAAAAGAACGTGCGCTCTTAGAACCGCATTGGCATGGTGTGGGGAAGCAAATAGGGTGGATGCCACTAAACTTGAAAAATCTGTAACAAGAGTGTTATGTGTTTGGATTTTTTTTAAAGACCTGCAAACACTGAACTGTGAAAGGTGGCAACACTGGGCGCATTCTGCCGCTGAGCCTCCAGCCCCGTCCCCCGCAGCCCGGCGGAGAGAGGAACGCAGCGCTGTGCGCTCCTGGGCTGCGCCCGCCCCGGCTGGCGCGCCCTCTAATCCCCCCGCACGCCGCATCTCCGCTGCGCCGGCGTCGGAAAACTCTGCGTTCGGAAAAAAATTCATTTCATCGTCTGGGCTATTCCAGGCTCTATTTCCGTAAATTCCACTCGACAGAGAGTGCAAGCACGTTCTGTTTTCCGCGGTTGTAATCAATGGCCCCCTGGCTGTAGACGTTACCCTGGTCCGCTCCCAAGTCGCAGAGTCTAGTCAAAGCCGCCAGGATAGGGGGGTGCGCGGTGCTGTTGTTAATTCCCACGCTCTCCCAGCCCGGAAGCAAGGTTGGGGAGAGGGTGCACGCTCCTGGCTACCTGCAGAGAGAAAGGGAATGCTTCCCGAAGACCAGTTCTCAGCCCTGGCCACCGGAGAGGGGACCGACAAACTAACTAAACGGGTTAATGCTTCCCACCAGCCACCTAGGAGCCAGGCTCCCAGTGCGCGCATTACCTCCTGGCCGAGTCCCCTGGGACTCACCTTCCGCAGCTCCTCAACCCCTTGGCAAGTTCGGAAGCCCCACCACCTCAGGCTCGCCTTTCCCAAAGCCAGCACCTGAGCCTTCTTTCCTGGCTGCTTCCCCCAGTTCTGCGCGAGAAACTGAGAGGGAGGGGAGTGAATAGCTATGGGTATGATCCAGTCAGTCACTAGCTACAGGAATCAACTCAAAACCTGTATCCTCAGGCTGGCACCCAAAAGCCTAAGGAGAGAGAGGGGTGAGGGAGAAGTCAATGCGCACACTTCCTTTCACTGAAGGGACAAGCCTCCATTCACAAGCTTCCTCTGGTTGCACACAGACTCCAGACCTCCCTGAGGCCAGTGCTCCCCAGGCAAGGCCGCCAGGGCCTGGTCCGCCCCTCGGGGCATCTGCTGGGACTGAGGGAAGGAAAGGAGGTAGATAATAGGCTAAGGTGAGCAACCCTGGACAGTGCAAGACACAGTGTGTGGAGACTCTCCAAGCCAGGAACCACGCTGCTGCCCTGCCAGTGGACCTCGCACACGCATTGTTCAGAGAGCCTCGGTCAGTCACACCAAATCTCAGCTCCTGGAGGTGACCACAGTCCATGAGGTTTGTCTGGTCTGAAGTTTGTTACCCTGGAAAACAAGGATGGATTTTCTTTGTTTGATCCAAGCAGACAAGAGCCCAGAGGTTTTTAGAATGTTCTCCTAAGTGAGTTGCTTGAACCTGTCCCTAAAAGACCCTATGGCCCTCCCTCTCCATTCCTGCCACACACTCAGAGGCCGCATCCAGATAGCAGGACCACTTTTTGCTAACCAGGTCCCTGGGGACTCCAGAGCGACTTCTAGTTCCATAGATGTTGAATGGAGGCGCAGTTGTATTGTGGGAGGAATCAGGGGCTGCCCCTGCTGGGGCCTTCAGTTGGTGTTCTTGCCAGGACCCTCTATTTCCTCCAGGCCTGGCTGCTCACCAGCCAAGTTGGCAGCAAACACACAACCAATAGCCTGTGGCTAAAGAAACACTGTGCAGGCTGAGAGGGTAGGAAGGGCCGACTGTGAGAAAGAAACAAAGACTAAGCGTGTACATGCAGGGTGAGGATGGTGTGATTGGAAATTCTGCAGGTCCTGTGGTTAGATCTCTTCCTCTTTCTCCAGGTTCTGTTACTTCCCTCCGAGGGGCATGTGTTTTGAAATGGCCACAGGCAGCTGGTCTTCTCTATCTCTGTGGAGTCAGAAAGCAAAGCAATGTTTTCTAGTAGAAAAGGTTTTGTGACATGAATTGACTCAATGAAATCAGTTACTTTAAAAAAGAAAAGTAACTGAAAGTTCATCTATGAAGCTCAACTCAGGTGCTTGCCAACTAGCTTCTGGTACATCCATGCACTGATTCCCAAAGCACTAAGGCTCCCAGTTATCTTAGCACGCACTATCCAATTGCAGGAAAGTAACCACTCTTAAAGGGCTACTAGAAGCCCCTTACCCTGGCTGTGGCCAGGCAAAGAAGATGGAGGATGCAGTTTCTTGGGCTTGTTACACTGAGTGCAAAAGTCATTTTTAAAGATCATGTCATCATCCCTTTTCCCCACTCTGTCCTTTGTAATGGATTCTGTTCCTGGCACATCTGTTTATAATAATGTCTAGAGAAGTCATTCTGAGTACAGGTGGAAACATGTGGTACTTCCAGTCCTAATTCCTTATAATAAGAGTGGAGAATCAGAGACTTCCCTCATCTATGAGAGAGAAAGAGGGTAAATTAGAATTGCTGCTATTGGAATAGCTCTAGCCTTCTGGATGTTCGGGTTGTATCAGAGAGACAGGCCATAGGCAAATGGGCACTCATTCAAGAAAAATGAGGGTGGGGGAGAGAGAGAAAGGAAGCACAGTGTCCTCTTCTAACACGTCCGCCTTGTGCCAAGTGAGAGGAGGGAGGAGAACAGAAGTGAGACCAAGCCTGGTACCAGC